ACTGCATTTGTCTTTTGCCGAAGCTCAGACTCTGGTACAGGATCGGGAACGTTGGAAGCACTGTCTGACGTGTCTGCCTCCGCGACCCGTAAGGAGAAGCGGCGATGGAAGATGAAGATGAAGCAGATCTGCATATGCCTCGTTCCTCAGTGTTACAGGCAGGTCTTCTGGTCGACGTCCCATCCATGTTGCATGCAGGCCTTCTGATTGACGACTGTCATGTTTCGACTTCCCCACGAGAGGCTCATTGGCTAAAGTAAATGTTTCTATTCAGTCGATCTACCTAACAAGGCTAACATCTTTTTCTTAATCTCAGAGTATGTTGAGGACATTCGTGCCTGAGAGAGAATAGGATCGTTCCTTACATGGTCCTGCCATTAAGTTCTCATTAAATATCGAAGCCAACACTACTGTATGCAGTTCGATCGTCCCTCTTGCTCCTTCCTTAGCGCAGCTGCCTTCATGCCACATGACAACATTGGCCTGACATGCGCAAGATAGAGGTATCATTCGTTCTATGAACAGATGGTGATGAATTGTGCGCAAAATTGACGGAAGATTCGGTTGAAAGATTTTAATGAGTAATATCAGGAAATGGAGATAAGATAGCATTCGTTTTTGTCATTTTTCATACTGACTGACGTGGTTCAGATTTTGTTGTTCTGTGGCAACATTTTTAAAGCGAAAGAAATTAGATCATTATGTATGACTGTTGGAAGTGTACAAGCTGTAGCAACGACATGATTTAAATCCTTTATCCGTTATCACACTGGAGGACCGTCGGCGTTTGACCGAAAGACTGTTCTTTGAACCGTTACTGTGATGTAATAGGTGTGACCGATTGAATCAAAGGCTACGCTAACTGAATTGATAGCGTACTGAATCGGCTATCTGAACAGCGTCATTGCTTAATTGCGTCCTGCCAATTGATACGGTTTGCCTCTATGTTTTCTGAAAGATCATACTTTTATTTCTGGAGGTTAATTTAATATCTTGTGAAAGGAAATCTGTTGAATGGCTCAGAAGGAAACATCTCTGCTGACTTGGTCGCATTTCTCTAAATCAATTTCGTTATAGTTGCTTCGGCTTTAGATTTTCAACACGTCCTGAAAAGCAAAGTTGGAGCGCTTGCGGTTATCATCGTTGTCACTGAAAGTTAAACGTTTTGAATATGAAAATTGTATTGTTCAGACTAATGATCCGGAGTACAGATGTCCGAGAGAGCCTTGATGTGCAGCCGCTGTTTCTCCAGATTGAGAAGTCGCGGTTGCAGTTTTCTCTTCACGTGTTGCAAACCCTTCCTGAAAGGAAGTCGAAGCAACTACTTGTCCAACCAACCGGTAAGAGACTTCCGGGGGGACCAAGAATAACCTGGCGGAAAGTGTGTTGACAGACTCTGCTCCAGACTCGGGTTATCTTCTGTCGATGGTCAGACGCTCGCACAAGATCGGTAACCTTAGTCATACTGTCTCACACGCGTCTGCCTCCACGACCCGAAAGAATAAGCGGTGATCGAAACTGATTGACGAGAAACAATGATTGTTGATCTGCTTTAAGTTATTTATTTATTAGCTTTTGCTTGTATGTCGCAACGGCAAAAGTCATATCCCCTGGTGTGACGAGCAGGTTTGCGTTTACTGACGTTCAACAAATCACAGCTTCGAGGTACAAGTATTATTAAACATATTTTCCTTCTGTTTCATGATAGTTTCATCAACAGTGTGATGCCTATTTGAACTTAAGTAAAACGACCTAGCAGAAGAAAAAACATCTTAGTTGAGTGAGCTCTTTGTGTCTTTTCTGTTTGCGCGTTCACAGTAGCAATGAGAAAACCAAATTTATGTAAAGGGACTGAATATCAGTTGCAAGTCTTAACCGATTCACCCCCCGCAGCAGCTGCATTCAAACTTAACAATGGCTTATGCGTTTGATGAACTGTAGTGCAAGTGTCTTGTGTGATGCCTGTTTCATCTAGTGAAATGCAGATCTAAATGAATTTTAAGGACGAATGCATATGTTCATTTGCCGGTGGCTTCTTTGCATGAAGCTGTTTGTTGTCGTGCTCCGTGAACACTTGCTGCCGGCTTGATTTTCATGCAGATGATTCTGAGTAAAGGTCGCGAATTTTATCGACTAATTCATTTAACCTTGAATCGACACGCCACTAATTCAATGCAAATAGATCGAATTTTGTTAGACCATTTAAGCCTGTAACAAATGCAGACCCCTTGTTCTGGAAGCGATGTGTCGAATTTTTGGAGGAAGTTTAAATCTGAGTATCTAGGATTCAGCATCTGTTGTAAAGCGTTTAAAAATTGTTTTTTACTGGAATAAACTCTCAAAACAATCATTTTGGATACATAAGTAGAATAAATTGATATTTAGATTAGCAATGAAACGAGCTGCACTTCAGGACAGCAAGAAATCTAGCCGGAATTCTTGAAACGCGCCTTCCCCTTAGAAAAAGACCTTTGTCTCTGACATGATCAGCATTTTTACAGAATAGAAAGTAAAAAAAGAAATAGAAAGAACATTGCCGAATAGCAAAAGAGAAAGGGCATCTCTCCAGCGAACTCCACAATTTATAGGGGGTAATTCAGACAGCTCTCCTTCAACATGGTTTCTCCTGCATGCATCACTTCCAAAATAGGAAAGATGAGCTCAGAAATTTTATAGCATTGCAAGAATCTCCATATTGTCGGACGATGTGATGAATCAAATTCTGCCTTGAAGTTAAAGAACCTGGCAAACAAAGGTAATAAAGAATCGTCGGCATTGCTCATTGGACCTGAGCAAAGTAAAAATTTGGTCGGGACAAAAGTACCCAATCGGAAACCTGTCTGATTTGGGCGAAGTCTCTTGTAAACTGCTTGCATCAGCCTTTTTAGGACAGTTAAAGAGAAAAGTTTTTAGGAGTTTACACTGGCATTATATCACGGTAGTTAAAACAGCCGCAAGAATTCGATTCAGCTTGCAGGCCTTTGGATTTTTAATTTTTTGGGTGGATTTTAACTATCCTGAAGTTCTGGCACGGAACTAACAGTCGGAAATGGCGAATCTGGAAGGCACCCGATGAGTAGCCTGCTGTAAATGTTCAGCTCATCTTCTGAGGCGTTCTTTCTGACCTGCCAACGATACACACTCAAAGTCATGAATAAGGGCAGACAAAGTCCCCTTCTTACTGAACAACTACCACAATCTTTTGAACATTGTTCCCCGGTAACCATTTCTAGCTGCCTTATCGATCATTTGATTTCTTCCTTTCGCCAAAGTATCTTGTCCGCTTGTAGCTTTGTTGATTGCACAATGCGCGAAAGAGAAGGCAATGAGCTGCCGTCTACACTGCAGAGTGGTGTGACACGAGTGCTTTTTCCTTGGTTGATTCCTTTGCAGACAAAAGGCTAGGCTCTTCTCCATAACCCAGGGCAGTTTCACAATTCTCTTTTAGATTTCAACTACTTTCTCCACTGATAGAATGAAGGATTCTTTGAAGTTTTGTAAGTTTCATCGTCGTTGCCACTTCCCAACTTGGCACTGAGGATAGTATTGAAATAACCCAATAATCCCCTCTCAGTGGGCCTACGGCGCTGCTTCGTCATATTTTGGCCAGTACACAGAGCAGCTAATATATTTCAACCAGGCTGCGCCAATGCGACACGGTTAGTTTTATACTGTGACCGTTATGACTACACAATTATCAGATGCAATGCAGGCACCACACCTGATCAGATTCTCGAATCCATGAGTAACGATCTGCAACATTTGCGGTTGGTGAAAATGCTTCAGCTGGATATTTAGGCTTTAATCAGGTGACATCCAGATGGTTTTGTTAATACGTTTATGAGGAAAAAGGAAAGGAAGTTGGTCGATGTTGGAACATCGGTTTTCCTTCACTTCCATGATTGGGCCATTTTGGCGCCCTTATTTTTACGAAGTTGATGGTGTGGCGCTGATCTCCGTTTCTATGCCATCAGATGAGAGTGCCTCTGAAGGCAGAATAGAATCTGCAGCTATGTAACAAGCGGAAGGAAGAAGGGCGAATGATCTCGACCGGTGCTTGAACTCAGTTCCACGCCCTACGGGCAGAGCTACCCAGATCTAAAGTAGTGGGTGGTAAATTCCTCGCTCAAGGGAATTCGTGAATAAGACAAAGATTGCTCTCGAGCGGTATCGAATTTCATACCTCTGGTGTTCGAAGCGGACCTCTTAGACAACCGTGCCAATGGACCACTTTTTTGAGGAAACTAGGGCCCACTGACGATTAAAATATTTGTCGCGCCAAAGTATAAGAGACGCCTGATGCTGTCATTCACGCTGTCAATACCGTGACGGCCGAGTACGCCTGGCAGTGCAGTACTCAGCGCCCACCTTTGCGATGAGGTCGCTTTCACTCGACACGTTTGTCGGTGCATTTGTCGGCGAGAATGACATTCAGCGTTGCCTGCTCATTCGCGCGACAGGCCAGGATTCTTATCGACACCTGTTCTACTGAAACGGCCTTCCGGCTTACCGTAGAAGTCAAGAGAATACCCTCACCGGCACGGCGCTGTGTATTGTGGCTTAGCCAACTAAATGACCACTCATACTGCAAGTCAAGGGTTCCTTTCCTCGGGAGGCAAGCTTCCGTATCCGCCAGTACATCGAGTGAATAACGATGGACCGTACGGCCGACATCAGCCAACTTACCTTCGCTATACGTGAGATACAAGAAGAACAAACGCGCCATCATACAACACGGAATTTATCTCTTGCAGTGTTGACTAAGGAACCTTGGCTCCTAGTCATCTGGTATGTTGCCAACCGGAAGCTCTGCGCAACTAATTTTTGCGAGAGGGCAATAAACTTCGCCCGCGCTCGCTAGGAAATCAATCTGTCAATTGGTTTGGCAGCCTATGAATGTTTCCATCTCATTCAAGTCAGAAAACC